TGGGGGCTCACAGAGCTTGGATTGTCGGCGATTTGTGAGCCGTCCTTACTCCCACCCCTATGCTCAGAACAGGCTTCTGCTTAGGAACACCACTTGTCAATCATCCAGTGTTCTCCAGATTGATCTGCAGTTTTAGACTCAGTGGAGCAACCGCAGTTAGCCAAGAAGGATGACATCCCGCTATAAGATAGCCCCAGCATGATGGGCTGGAGGAGGGTGTGGACCTCCAGGTCACCTACCCTGGGCCCAAACATAGCAAGCCAGAGGTAGAGATGCTGTCTCGGAAAGAAGGAAGCAGTGCTCTTTCACACAGCAGGTACAGTGTGCTCAGCAGCTCTGCTGGCAGAACAGTAACATGTATTCCTGGGGAAGGAGGTTAGGGTGTCTCCTCAAAATAGACTCTACTCTGGAAACTCATCAGTCCCACAAAATGTGTGCTCCATCAGTGGGTACCACTCTGAGGAGACCCTTGGTATTCCGTACTGTGTCTCCACTCCCTGCTTCCTCATTACAGACCTGGGCTCGGGAAGGCTGGGTCCCAGGGGAGATTGAACAGGCACTTAGTAGGTCCTCAGCCACACTGCACTTGGTGCTCATTCTATGACAGCTGACCTCAACGAATACAAGGTGGGAATGTTTTACATAGTGACTGGCCGACTGCCCAGGGCTAAGCACCTCCAAGATGGATTAAGACTTCAGTATCACAATAACACGGGTCCGCAGTACCACAAATCTATTGGGAGGGCATACATAACATTTCTCTCCCCTCCTTTCTTTTTCTCACCACATCTAAAAGTCAAACTCTGTTTTGGTACTGGGAAGGTGACCCAAGGCACTGGTCATGTTACAGACACCCTCTACTAGGCATCCCAATCAAAACTTTACAATTAATTAGTTTATTTATTTACTTAATATGCATGCTTTTGTGTGTGTGTGTGCATGTGTGTGTGTGTGTGTGTGTGTGTGTGAGTGTGGCATGCACGGAGAAAACCTGTGAGAGCTGCTTCTCTCCTTTCATTATGTGGGTTCCAGAGATAGAGCTCAGGTTGTTAGGTAAGGGCCTTTACTCACTGAACCGTCTCATCTCCCAGCCCCCAAGGAATTCTTTTAAGGAGAGAACAGGAACTCATACCCGGTGCTACGCAAGATCTTAGAGCAAGAATGATTTGGATTTGCCCTGAGGTAGAACTTTTGACTGAGAAGGTGACTGCCCAGAAGAGGGTGGTGAGAAATCAAAGGACACGCGGGACTCCCTCAGGACGTGGCACTCCTCTCCTCGAGGCCCAGGCCTGATACCGTCAGCCCAGGCGTGGGAACCCACAGGTGACTCAGAGACTCTTAAGTGGTGGTTGCTAGGTTACGAGATTCTTTAATGTGCCTCAATGTAAAGACTAAGGGATGTTACCTGGCTGGGAGGAAGAGCAATGGGGGAAGGAGAGAGGGAAAAGAAAAATCAGGCTCCAGAATTAGCAATTGGGCATGGCCTGGAGGCAAACTGATTTTTCTTTTCTACTTTTCCGCAGCTGAGTCTCTTGACCCCTACGGTTTGCACAGAGTAAAGCCTATGGATATGAGCGCTGAATTGGAGCAGGGCTGTCCAGGACTGGACTCTGGTGTCTCCCCAGGTGAGACCCTCAATCACCGGGATCCCTTTGAACACAGGACCAGAAGCCAGATGAGAATAGAAAGGCTCCGCCTCCTGGCTAACGCGTGACTGTTCACTTGTGATTTGGACTCTTCAACCCAGTCTTGTGAATGAGCTGCCAGCCCTAAGTGAAGCACTCCCTGAGTGTCAGACCCTCCTCTGCAAAACACAGATGCTCACAGATGCCTGGCAGTCTCCCTCCAGTTGAAGATTATGAGAAAGTGGATGTGCAAGGGCTGAGCTCCGGGAAGTCTGCCCACCTGCTGGGAGGATGTGAGAAGTTGCTTGGCTTTGCCTTTGCCGCTTCTGTGAAGGCTCAGAGGCAAGCGAGGCTGAAGATAGATCCCAACAAGCCCATTTGAGAAGACTGTGGCTTCCATTCACCCTGGCCACCCCACACTACAGCTGTGAACCTCATTCCGTTCAAGGTAAGAGCCCATTCCACATTCCTCTGGGCAGGCTAGGCCCCTAAGAATGTCTGTGTACCCCCAGAGAAGACTACTCAGACATGGTTTCAAGCTAATAGAAACTCTTTACTAGTCAACTGACAACCACACGGAGTGTTCAGGACCCCAGTGCAGTCCTGAGCCTTTCTCAGGGTGGCTTTTTAAGCACAAAAACCACATCATGAGTTGACAGATCTCATGTAGCAGGAACAGTTAGCCAGAAGCGGAACTACAGAAGCCGAAAAGTAAGGTTAGTACATTTAGGGACTTTCCCAGAACTATGGACTTTGATCCAATAGGCCTTTGTTCTCGTTTGGGCAGGTGGTGCTGCCTGCATGCTGCCCTCCGAGGCCTGAATGGCACTTCCACCCCATCGGCAGTTGTGCTACGGTCTGGAGGCCTTTTTACAGGAACAAGAGATGGATGGTATTACCTGTGAGACTTCATTAATTTAGACTACACTCTTAGAATTTGTAAGTTCTTACTGAACGGGGGGAAAACATCACAGCCTCTTCTGTGGAGGATCTAGATGTTGATTTGGCCAATCCACGAACGTAGGCTTTAAAAAGAAGTAGAATTGTTAGGTCAAGAGCCCAAGATAGGCGGATAGGCCTGTTTGGAGCTACAGCTTCTATTTCTCACAGAAGTTGCAGTAGCAGTATGCACACCGACAGAAATGGACCAGGCCCGTGCTCCTGTCGGAAGGTATAGTGAACCCCTGACAAACGTGACCTTTTAACCTTTACAGAAATGAGTGCCGGGGAAGGCTGCAACAATGTAAAGGAGGAAAATCTAATGGAGAGGCACACACCTTTAATCCCAGCACCTAGAGAGCGGAGGCAGGGAGATTTCTGTGAATTTGAGGCCAGCCTGGTCTACACAGAGAGTTCCAGGACAGCCAGGGCTACACAGAGAGACCCTGTCTCAAAAAGAAAAGAACTGGGTTCGGCGGCACAGGTCTGCAATCCTGGCACTTGGAGGCGCTAGCAGGAAAATCATGGGTTTCAGGCATAGTGAGACCATGGCCATGAAGGGGTGGGGGAGGGAGGAAGGGAGGGGGAGAGAGAGAGAGAGAGAGAGAGAAAGAGAGAGAGAGAGAGAGAGAGAGAGAGAGAGAGAGCGCACGAGCCCTTCAACAACTTAGATGATGACACTCCAGGAATGAGTTTGGGGGTATTGGGAGTTGGGGGACTCTAAAAGATTACACACTGTATGATTTTATCCATATATATTTTTTTTCCTTCTGGCCTGGAGCACAATATATAGCAATGATGAACTTGAACTTCTGGTCCTCCTGTCTCCACCTCCCAAGTGCTATGATTATGGGCATACATCACTGGGCTCTATGCCACTGTGCCAGCACCAGGTTTTATGCAGTGCTGGAGATGGAATCCCGGTTTTTGTGCTTGCTAAGCAAGCACCCCACCAAGTGAGCCACAGTTCCAGCTCCTTGTACAACATGGCTGAAGCGACAAGATTTCAGAAATGGATTGTCAGGGCCTGGGGAGGGAAGAACAAGGAGGAAGTATGGAGTTGTACCAGATATCAGAAGGTGACATGGGACCTTTGCAATAATGACAATGTATTCTGCTTGTGGATCATACTTTAGCTTGGTCGGATATCAGCACTGGGGGACACTAGATAAAGGCTGCTTCTTGCCTATAACCAGGTGTTATACAGCTTATCACAAATTAAAACTTAGTGCCTCCCAAGTGCACACCCCTGAGTTCCATCTCCAGAGTTGGGGGGAAAAACACACCAAATACTCACACTCACAGTGGAAAGTTTGTCAGGGCCCCAAGCTGACAGGTGAAAGGAAGACAGCTAGAAGGACCCTGTGGACTTGGAGAGACACACCACTAGGTGGTCCGGTGTGTCACGGGCACTTGTCTTACTGGGGACCACAGTTGGAGGGTCTGTTGCTGGGGAGAGGGTTGAAGAGGTTATCTATCTAGTTCAAGGACCCGGATTTGTTAATAAGGTTTGTGTTTCTAGTGATGGGCGAAGGTTTGGGGGTGATCCTCCCAGCCTGTCTATTGGTGTGTTCAGTTACGGATCCCCTGTCTGTGACTTTATCTGCGTCTTTGCAGACGTGTTCACTCAGGAGGAAAGGAAGGCTCTGTGTGAATTACATGAATATGTGTGCAGATCGTTACATCTGCGGGTCCCGGCTGCATGTATGTCACTGCCTCCTAACTCGGCTCTGAGGTTTGACAGTGTGAGAATGCCTCCCCCCATCCCCAACAAAGCCAGCCTGTCACGAACTGGGTCTGTGTACTGTAGACAAACTGGGTAATTGGGCTCTCCGCCTCCTCACCCAAAACAAACACTCGCAAACGCCCGCCCCCACGCTGGCGGGATCTGCCTGTCATCTGGGCACCGGCTCCTGCTCCGGCTGCCTCCGACCCTGGAGACACTGCAGGCTCTGCCCTCGCCCGCCCCGACCGCCGGGGCTGACGCACAGGCCACGGCCTCCGCCGCGAGGCGCGTGGGCTCCTGCCCA